TGGTTGCTAGCAGCGAACAAAAACCTTTTGTATAGAGAAAATTGAAGGGCTTTTGGTAGATCTACAACCATCTATAAAGTTTCAAACTAAACGAAGGTTATATTCTTGATGAGGAAGATAAGGTGCTTCAGGAAGTGTATTTGTGTTTTGAACGACGATCGGAGTGGTGGCCAACACGGTAATCACCGGCGTTTGATTTCTACTGGACCGGTGAAGCTTTCTTGCTTTACTTCAGAGCATTATGTTAAGGATAAAAAAATGCATGAAAGAAGAAAAGAAAGTGAGAAAGATAGGAATGTTTGAGAGCACGTGAGTTTAGGTAATGGTGATAAAGGATGAAGGGTAAATCGTAGCATAAGTCCTCCAAAGTTGGTGAGTACTTAACTTTGCCTCCTAGTTTCCATATGGTTATGAATATTGCTTAATGATTTTAATAAGATTATTTTGGTCACTAACTTTGGTAGCTAAGTATTAAATTGACCCCATAAATTCTAATTTTGTCAATTAGGTCCCTCGATTATTAATTTAAATTTTAATAAGTTATCTTTATGGCAAGGGAAATTATTTGGATACGAGTTAGTAATTTTGATGGCCTGGATCGTGAGGAAAATATTGAAAGTTGATTTCAAGATCGAGGACACTCGAATGGAAATTATATGGTCAATTAGTATGGCACAAAAATCGAGGTAATACTTTACTACCTCTTTATGCTTTATGAAACATGTTTATATTGATAAATGCATGAACAAGATAACGTTGGTCACTTTGGTGGGGTTGAATAATTTATACACTCGATATGATGTGGTAGAAATTCCGTAACTAATTACGGATCGAATGACTAATATAAGAGATTGAGGAATTGTGAGATTAAATTACAAGTTTGTGATTAGTGATAAAGAAATCAGCCCTGTATCTGCAACTTATAATTTATTTCATCAAAGGTTAAATGTTAAATGTACTTAGATGGGAAATTATGAGAATACTCCGGTAGGGTAAAATTATGAAAATACCCTTATGTTATAAAAAGACAATATTTGAATATGGAAGTTAGATAAGAGGATTTTACAGACATATTGATCTGATAAAAATATTGATGTGTATAATAAATGTTAGTTTTATTTGGAAATTATGGATAACCAGTTTTAATCCTATGAGAGTTTGTGAAGGATACTAGAAGTTTGTTAAGAGAACCGTTTCAAGATCAGAGAGTGTTCAAGAAAGCAATTAATCATAGGATCTCTAAATTATATTATTTTCGTTAAGAGCTAATATCGAAATTATCTGGTTAAGAAATTACGGAAATGCCCTTAAGAGGTAGAATAGTCAGAGTTGACTCTGAATGAGAAAATACTTAGGGGATTCGTACTTAACTCGATTAAGTACGGATTTAATTGTTAAGATCCTGACTTAGTGCAGGAAAATTCCTGATATTCCGTTTGTAAAATCTGAGAAGGCACTTAACCCGGAAATATCCGAGTTATGAGTAAATACCTGAAGAACAATTTGTCGGGGTTGTTCTGTTGTCAATATTGTTCGAAAGGACTGAAATAAATGATAAGATTGAATTTAATAGTAAGATCAGACGAAAGGAAATGATTAAAGTACACTAAATCTGTACAATGATCAAAATACCCCTATAATAGAAATGACCCAAGAATACCACCAAGCTCAAGAATGATTGGATATCCTCGAGGTTTGAAATGAATGGAATAAAACTGAACACCAAAATTACCAAAATACCCTTATGGCCTATATTAAGTAAATGTCTTGGATTAATTAAGGAATCCAAATAAGCATAGGTGTTGGACTACCTTTAAAAGTTATGGAACAAAACTTAAGTGAGTAGATCAACCCTAAAGCTATGTCAATACCTGAACGACATACTGGAATGTGTATTCGTCTTTTCAAGTTTGGCTCGATGATAAATTTGGAAGTATTCAACTCAACGCAACTCTAGATCATATTCAGTACTAAGAATTGGATATTTGTTCGACAAATCAACCACGAATACTGAACTGAACGAAAGTAAAATATGTATCCGAAATTCAGAAAATGTTTGATTTACTCTGGAAAACTCTTAAGTAACCGTGATAAACTTGACTGTTAAATGAAATAAGTAACCTCAATGACTGATGATTAAATAAGTGATTTGGATGAGTCTGGAAACGTTAACGAACATACATAATGAAATGTTTTTTATGGGTCATGAACTATAAATCAAGCACGTCAGCATTTCATGATACTGTGGAAGTGTGAAAAATGAAATAAAGAGCATTGGAATATCTATGGATAAGAATGTTAGGTATAGAATAAATAAATACCCTGGAAGGACAAAGAATTGACTAGTCGATGAGCATTAGTTATGGGAATTATTCATATCGAGTAACTCGTTAATCTGATCAATCGACAAAGATTGTAAAATTTCTGAATCGTTGTTCTCCCTTATCAGCTCAAATTAGTTAGGTTATATCTGAAAATATAAGTAGCTCAGATGTAAAGGATTCTGAATACCCTTTTGATTATGTAGAGCTTTAAAAAAATGTATGAATAAGATATGATCTCGATAAGTCTTAATCTGAATAACTTATGATTCCATCAGTTATTGAACTCTTCCAATAGTGATTATAAATCCCAACATTCTATCGGTATATTGAAGATCCGTGTTTCTCTGCCTGATAAGATTATTCTGTACTTATGAATAATATCTGTAAACTCTGGTGTGTTCCCTACCCACATGAATATTTTATCTGATTTTCGATTTGAATTCTGATCTGATTCTTGACATGTATTCTGATCTGATATCTGACATGGATTCTGATCTGATACTTGACTTGGATTCTGATATGATACTTGACCTGGATTTTGATATGATGCTTGACATGAATTATGTTTTGATTTTTGATATATCCGTTTACGGATAGAACATGTTTTATTTGGGGGTATTATTGGAGGTTACTATATATGCAGGTTCCTCGGCTTTATGCTCGGGGGCCTTACTTGGTGTGTTGGTGGGTGTATGGTTCTAGGGAACCTACACATTATGGTGTGTTGGTGGGTGTATGGTTCTGGGAAACCTACACATTATGGTGTGTTCGGTTGGAGGGATTACTATGGTTTTTGATAAATGTTTTATGGGAGGGTGTTGTTGGAGGAAGTTATCGTTACCGTTACTGCAGGCTCCTCTGCTTTGTGCTCAGGGCCGTACTTGGTGTGTTGGTGGTGTATGGTTCTGGGGAACCTACACATTATGGTGTGTTTGGTTGGATGGATTAATATGGTTTTTGAATAAAAATATGTTTTAAATTGCCATTGTTTTAAAAGAAAAGATATGCATCTTTTCACAGGTTTTGCGGGAACACACTAGATAACCTATTCTGATCTCCTGAACTCAGTCATCCGAAATATTTGTCTGAACTGAAAGCTCATTGTCCGTTACCATCTGAAATATCAGTAGGATCTCTGCTCAGCATAAAAATCTGTAAATGTTCGAAAATAATAAGGATATGTATGTTTATTTGTATATGCACGTTCTTCAGCATCATCTGGTAGTTTTGTATTACTGAGCTTTTCGAAGCTCACTCTATTACTCATCTTTTTAGGTTAAAAGAATTGTACCAGTGCATCTATCGACTTTAGTAAGGAAGTTCTTTCGGCGTTGTTGCAGAGTATGGTACATGTTATTAGGGGGCATGTAATTGTATTTTGATTTATATACGAGTCTAGAAATCTGTTTTATTTTTAAATAGCGACAACTGATTTTATTAGTTTACATGTGCTGATAAAAAGTTTTAAATTTTTCGCTATTTTTAAAGTGGGTCGCTCCGGTGTCCCAAATGTGATACCCCGGATCGGATCTGGTTACCCTTATCGGTCTGTGGGGGTTACATCGACAGTATAAAATCTATGCGCTTCGTGTTATTATCCAGTTTATCCAAAGGTTCTGCGATCTCCTTTTCCTCAATCACAGACTGACGGCGAGTCATAGTCCGACGAGCGGAAGCTACAGCCCGTTTCTCGGATACTTCCTCTAACTTTTTCTTCTTTAATTTAACCAGCGGCGACATCGATTTTGATGTTGGTTGTTGCCCGCATGTTATATTTTTCTTTGTTTTTTAGTTTTTTAATAAGAATAATTATGTCTTTGTTACATGTTCTCTGTCTTTATGGCACGTTTATCTTTACCTTTGTGACACGTTTTTCTCTGTCTTTTGGTAGTTTAAGAATTTTTGTCGTTGTTTTCGTTTATCTTTTTTCTCAGGGTTGGATTTGACATCGTCACGACTGATCAAGATGACATTTATTTCTTATCATGATGATATTCTCTACTTTAGACTCTCGGATTGATTTGGATATATGTTTCGTGTTCGTGGATAGTTTTCTCACATCGTTTGACTCTGATTTGCGATTTGTCGGTGGTCTTCCGTAACTTCATCCTCTTATATGGTTCATTTACCGATGCATTCAGATTTGTTCGTATCTTTATTTTGTTCGAGCATTTGTTAGGTTTTTTAACATTTTACTTTTATAGTCCTAGTGTGATCTAAGTTCTATTTTTTGTGTCGCTTGTTATAGAAAAATGTCATAATTGTAATTTAGTTTACGTTTATTGTTATACTCGTAAATCTTCATTGTAATTATGAATATTTTATATATTTTTAATAAAACTAACGACTTTTTATAAAATAAATAAATAAAAGAATTTATGATGCTAACATATCATTATATAATAATGTTACATAATCATTGGAAAAATTATTGTATCAACAACTCTGTTAGTTTTTTAACAACACGTGATCGAAATGTTATGATAAATATGTTTTTAAATAATATAAATTTATCGAAATGAAATCACGAGAATAATTGAATGATTAAATTACGTAACTTATCCGAAAATCAAATAAATTTAAATAATATAAATTTAGATCGGAACTGCTAACGGTAACCGTATCGGTCACGTCGTCTACAGATTTCTAACGTGTAACAGAAAGAGACGGACGATTACACGCCACGTGTCCCTTTTTCCTTTCTCAAACATTCTTCCCGCTTACCCGCTTACGTAACCTTGCACGATAAGTCTACTAAAAAATTCTTACAAAAATCCAACTTCCCCCTTTCTTTCCTCAAAATTACACGGACTGCCACTGTATCATCTCCGCCATGGCCACTCTCTCCCTCCAGCCTTGCTGTTCGCCTCTTGATTTCATTCGATTCCAACTCAGTAATCGTGGCCTCAAAGCTGTTCCGAGGTTCTCCCGCAAGTTTTACGGGAGAAGACTTAGGGTTTCGACTAGTGTTTCGAGAGGAAACGTGAAGATTAGAGGAAGGCATGGACTGTTATCGGTTTCTTGCTTTTGTAAAACGAATGCTGAGATTGAAAAGGTTTCATCGGAAGAGAAAGGAGGAGGGGAAGAACGGCCTCCTTTTGATATTAATCTTGCGGTTATTCTAGCTGGTTTTGCTTTTGAAGCTTATACAACTCCTCCTGTAAGTTATCATTCATCCGGAGAATCCTGGATTTTGTGTTTGGTTACTGAGAAATTGGAGTTGGAATCTTTTTAGTTGGGAAGGTGGTTTCATGAAAAATCAAAAGGCAGTTTGAATAAAAAGCTAAAATGATAAGTAGTATTTTAAAAGAAAAATGAAGGAAACTACATTTTGATGTTTGAATGTTATTGCATTCTAATAATTTGCTCATATTTGATCAAAATATTTATTTTTAGCTAGTTTGAAGAATTACAAATGGAAGTAAAAATGGCCGCCAAAGGAAACCTTAGCTTTTAGAACTTAGAAGGTTATTTAGGTATCATCTGGCAATAATGTTCTGATATTTTCTCTCTGGTTCGATGTGTTCTCTTGTCAGGAAAATGCAGGGAGGCGTGAAATTGATGCTGCAGACTGTACGACTGTTTATCTCTCAGAGTATGTTTTGGTTGTCTCTGTAAATTGTTTAAAACAGAATTCAATGCAGATTTTAGCTTTTAATTTTTGACATTAAGCGGCCGTGAATGCAATACAGGTCTTTTGTGCGAGAGATTTATGATGGCCAGTTGTTTATAAAGTTAAAAAAAGGTTTTGATTTCCCTGCCATGGACCCATGGGTATGTTATTAAGTGAAAATTGGAGGCTAATCTGTTTGTTTGTTGTCTGACACAAATTTAAGCCATCTATTTCAAAATTTCTGGTATGCATTCAGGGAACTAGTGATCCATATGTTGTAATGCAATTGGATGGTCAAGTTGTCAAAAGCAAGACTAAATGGGGGTAAGTCGTTGGTATTTGATATGCATTTTAGAGCTACTCTGTGTATTTTTTAGATTGATACTTTCAAATGAGTATCTGTAAATTGCTTATTTTAACGTTAGCTAAATAGCAGGAACTTTTGGTAAAAATGAAAGCAACAGTGCCATTTGTTTCTTTCCATTTTCTCTGTCTCTGACAAATTGTTTTGATCATATTTAAGCATAATTGATCATAAACTGCATAATTGTTCTATTGTACTTAAGCTTGTCCGAAAGCTATTGTACCTAAGCGATTTATTTATTATTAATTGTGTCATTTTTTAGCGGTAGTGCAGATATATAGTAAACATTTAACCTTTGAATTTCATATACTGTTGGCTGTATGATTGCAGGACAAAGGAGCCAACATGGAACGAGGACCTCACTTTTAATATTAAACTGTCACCTCCAAAATATATTCAGGTCCATACACATCTCTTAGTACCTGTAGTTTCATTATTTTATCTATTTACTTGCTTTTCTTTTGGTAGGAGCTTTTCTTTTAATTTGCGTAGGTTCTTAGTTTCATCTTGTTCCTCTTGTTTCAATGAAGCATGTCTGAGTCACTTGTATTACTTACCTATTTATAAAGTTACAATTGAATTAAAAACTCATCTTAAAAAGTGTCTAAAATTTTGTAAGTATAAAAAATATGAAATTAAAAGAGTTCCTGTATATTGCTACTTTCTTTACCATAGAGCATCTATCTTTGAATTTGTTTTGATTTGATTAATAGTGACTATGTTAAATAACTCTGTTTATCACCCATGTGTGTATTCATGGCTTTACTGCAACTTTCTTGACCATTGACTATCCAGTTTTGAAATGAGTTTGTTGAATGGTCAGCTTGATAGTGATTACCATGTTCCACTTTCCACTCATCAAGATTCATTTGCTAATGATCAATACCTGTATTTATCTTACATATGATCATCATCATAACTGTTCTCTTTATATGTGCATGCATGTGTGTTTGTTGATACTTGCTTAGCAGAATATTCCAAATTTTAAATTATGCAAAAATACCAGCTCTAATTGTAAAATTCACACAGCAGTTAAAGTGAACATTTCACAATGCTATTGGATCTTAGTTTACAAGTTTGTTGCACAACTTCTGGTTTGGTATTTTAATGAGAACCATCAAACTTCAGGTCGCTGCTTGGGATGCAAACCTTGTGACTCCTCATAAGCGCATGGGAAATGGAGGCATTAGTCTAGAAAACATCTGTGATGGTAGGAATTTGAACTACATTCATGTATTGGATTTATTAGATTAAAAGGTCTTTAATCTTTCATGTTGTTGCGTCTAATTCAGTTGGATTATTTCACTATTATCCAGCAAGAGTTCTATATTTCTATTATGCTTGAAATTTTATGGAATGTCCCCGATTCTTGTTAAAGTGTTGCTTTTAGGAGTTAATGTTGAGCAAACTAAATTTCAAATTCAGAGATGCATTTTTTTACCATATCATCAATTAGAATGGGTGTTTTTTTTTTCTCCAGGAAACTCGCATGAAGTGCTGGTGGAGTTGGAAGGAATGGGAGGTGGAGGCAAGTTGCAGCTAGAGGTAGATTTTTCTGGTGGTGTTGTCGCATACTTTACATATGTGTGTGCGTATTGAAGAATATTTCCTTCAAGCATATAGTGTTAAGTTGAGGAGAGCCTGTCCTTGAACTGTCCATTTGAGAAAAGGGTCATGCCCAGATGCTAACTATGCAATTTTTCATCCAAATCTTCTAACATTATGAGAAGTGACCAATCAAATTACAAAATTAAATGTGGAGTTTAATTAATCAATAATATTTAAAGTTTCAACCAGAATGACTAGGCTGTGTAGATTTCATGAATGGTTTCTCTTCTCCTTGAAGGGATTGTCCTCTGAAGCATACCCTTCTGTTTATTTTATCTTTCTTGAATCTTGCTCCTAATTGGTGAACCATTTTAGAAAGTATTGGGATTCTTGAACTCTTAGGTCATTGATTTTTTTCTTATTATTTTGATTAATGAAGCTACCATAATTTGGATATGTCATTTCTTCCATATGAATAGGAAAGTAACGAGTTGTGGCTCCTGCAAGGAAAATGAACCATGATGCTTTACTTTTACAGAACTTTATGTAATATGGATTTCCTTGGGATTTTAACTGCCATGATTCTAGAGTTGCTGAAGGAAATTTTATCTACTTTTCATCATATTTTCAGGCAGATTTATCATAGAACCACTTAATTCTGTACATTCAGTCAGAACTTACGTATTTCTTGTACTTTTGTCTTGTATGGGTTCAGGTTAAGTATAAGAGTTTTGAAGAGATTGAGGAAGAGAAAATGTGGTGGAAACTCCCCTTTGTTTCAGAATTTCTTCGGAGAAATGGATTTGAGTCGGCTTTAAAAATGTTTGTTGGCAGTGAGTCTGTGCCTGCACGGCAGTTTGTGGAATATGCCTTTGGACAGTTAAAGGCGTTCAATGATCCAAATTTTTTGAAGGAACGATTGTTAAACGGTAATAAGATTGGGGCTGAAGGTGTTGGGACTTCCAATGAATCTGCTGGGTCAGAGACGTCTTCACAAGTGGAAAGTAGTTCTGAAGACACTGTTAGTGACACGAGTGCCAACTCTAAAAATAATTCAGAGGAGTTCCAATTGGATAATTCTGGTATGGCTAATGGGCAGAAAACTGAACCAGTGGCACGAGATGGTAACATGCAGTTTGATAATCATTTCTGGAATAACTTTGCAGATGTTATCAATCAAAATGTTGTTCAGAAACTTGGAGTTCCTATTCCAGATAAATTAAAGTGGGATGAATTTGACTTGTTAAACAAAATTGGCCTGCAGTCCCGAAAAAATGCAGAAGCTAAATATATTGAATCTGGGCTTGCAACTCCAGATTATAAGGATATTCAAGGTGATGATGCACTTGAATCTGAGTGTGGAACTCGTGAAGATCCAGAAAATAAGAACGATAAAGCGATTGGACCACTTACCATTAGCACTTTACAATCTTCTCTTCCAGACATAAAGAAGGCAACACAGGATTTATTAAGACAAACAGATTCTGTCCTAGGTGCATTAATGATGTTGACTGCAGCAGTTTCTCAGTCGAAAAAGGAAGGACAGGAGAATGAAGATAAAGAAGACTCCTCTACAAAAGTGGGAAATGGTGTCTCTAGTTACAATGGCGGTGAGAAGCTCCCTAGCACGCTGGAGGGTTCAGTATTAGATGAGGAAAAGGCTGAAGAAATGAAAAAACTCTTTGCAACTGCTGAAAGTGCTATGGAAGCCTGGGCAATGCTTGCCACTTCACTGGGACATCCAAGTTTTATCAAATCGGAATTTGAGAAAATATGTTTTCTGGATAATGAAACCACGGACACCCAGGTGACGTTTTATCTCATTGGAAATAAGCTCATTTTTCACTGTAATTTTTTGTTCTTGAATCCGTACCTTTCAAGCACCTCACTATTTGATTTCAAGGATTATTTCATTTTAGCACTAAGTTGAAGGTACCTGCAGGTGGCGATTTGGCGTGATTCAGCAAGGAGGCGATTAGTTATTGCTTTTAGGGGGACTGAGCAAGTGAGTTGCATCTATCTATTTTCAAACTGAGTTGAATTATTTATCTTTTGCTTAAATTAATTATTTATTGACATCCAGGCAAGATGGAAGGACTTAATGACAGATTTAATGCTTGTTCCTGCTGGGTAATTTCAAATATCTATCCTTTTCTTCTTTCTTGTTCTACCCCTGAAAGCTTTTTCAGTTGTATTAAAAATGTATATCCTCTGAAGTTTTGCAGATAAACATTAGTCCTAGTTTCTATTTTTCCTCAGGCACACATCTTTCATAATGAAATCTAATTTAGAAAGGCACATCATACAATGTTTTCTTCTGATACGAACTTTTATCCTGCCTATGTAGACTAAACCCTGAAAGGATTGGTGGAGATTTCAAACAAGAAGTCCAAGTATGCTAACATTTTAAGACTTTGCATTTTATTTTTATATTTTTCAAAGACTATATAAATAAGATGTATGTATTGTTGATATCTGTTTAATTTAATTGCCTGAATAAATAGTGAATGCTGACTATATTTGTGCAGGTTCATAGTGGATTTTTAAGTGCATACGATTCTGTTAGGATAAGGATTATCTCTCTTATCAAAGCATCAGTTGGATATACGTAAGCATTTTTTCTTAGTCTCTTTGCTAATGTTCCAATTGAAGCTTAAATCTAACATGTTAATATTTCGTACAAAAGTTTTGCATATATCCATGAATCTTCATAGGTGTTGTTTAGCTTTTATTTATGTTGGAATCTTTATTGGTGCCTTTCAAAAGTTTCTTGTCTTGCCTTATTATTAATATTATTATTATTATTATTATTATTTTAAGCTAGCCATTGAGATGATATTGGATCTCTGATCCATCTATCTTCAATCTCTTGATGACCTTATTATAGGATATTAGACATGTATTTTAGTATTTGATTCGAAATAGAGCATTGATGTTAAGCAGAAGGCTTTCAGCTTTTTACACTACATATTAGAAATTATAAAATACAGATTGTTTTATTCACAGCAGTTCTCTGTAAATGTGTGTGACAGAGAGGAACTTATGGAGCCACCGCACAGATGGCAAGTTTATGTGACCGGTCATAGTTTGGGTGGTGCACTAGCTACTCTTCTTGCTCTTGAACTTTCATCAAGTAAATTAGCAAAGTAAGTTTCTCTCGCATTCACTAAAGAATGGCATTCTTTATTTGGTCTCTATGTATTAAGTGCAATTCAAAATGTATAGAGGGCGGATAAATTTTATTGTGGCTATTTAGGGGAAACTAAGCATATATTGATTAGGAATAAAAAAATAAATTAAATATATGCGTAAGTGCAACGAGTTACCTTTTTGATCCTCAACTACTTCAATACTTGAAAAAGTGGTAAATCAGAGGAAACACACTGTTATTCAGACTTTTCATGAATGTGTCAAAGACTGTAGAGAGCTGAATTTCAGATCTCTTTTATAACTGCAAGATGTTGTGGTCTAAAGACGTAATGATTTATATATATAAGCAAAAAGTAGTGTATTGAACTTCCAACCTCATTTGTGCTTATCAGATGTGGGGCAATTTCGGTGACAATGTATAACTTTGGTTCTCCTAGAGTTGGTAACAGAAGATTTGCAGAAGTATATAATGAGGTAATGGAATTTTTTCCTCCATTTTCATTAATGATGATGATGATTATTTTTTTTAGAGAACTTTGATCAATAGCAACTTTTCTAGTCCTATATACCCTTCTTTTATTTCTTTTCTTGCTGAAAGAATGTATTTAGTTGTAGGCCAACCCATTTCTGGTAAATTTCTAGCTATAGTATACTTATCAAGTTTTGTTTCACCTAGGCGTTAGATAGTCGGTGGATAGAAAAATGAGATCAGTAGACATGTGGAAAGATGGAAAACTTTATATTTTCTTTTCATTGGTATGTTTGATACGAAAGATAATAAAAAATGAAGATGAATATGAATATGATTTTCTTTCCATCCAGTGCTCGGTAGAGTTGGAAAATGGAAAGTTAAAAAACGTTTCTATCATTTTATCATTATATCTTTTACAAGTTTAGAGGAAAACAATTTAAAAAATGGACACACGACTAACTCCTCTCCTATTTCTCTCCTTTTAACTTTCTAACTTGAAATGATTTTTTAAGGCTTAAGAGTCACAATTGCTCCTGTAGTAGACTCAATTTATCATTTTCGCCCCTATCGTATTTTCACATCAATTTAGCCCTTAAAGTTGTTTAATTTCATCATTCTATACTCTTCCCCTAACTTAAAAACTAAATTATAAAACTTAAGTTAGTGTTTAAGGTTTATGGATAAGTTAGTGTTTAAGGTTTATGGATTAGAGGTAATAAGGTTGTGGTTTAGGGTTTATAATTTAGGACTTTAAGTTAAGGGTAGGGTATAGAATAATGTAATTTAGCAATTTTGAGGGCTAAATTGATGTAAAAGTACAATAGAGGCGAAAGTGATAAATTGGATCCACTACAGGGAAAAAGTTATCCTTTTACCTTTTTTTTAATTAATAAGTAGAAAATGCTCATCTTTTTCCTCTCGCTTTTTTCTTCTATCAAGCAATAATGAAAATAATTTTCTTTCCATTCTATCACTATAATCTGATCAAATTACTCACCAACATCTACCTAATGATTTCACAGCTCTTAATATCTGAAAAAATCATTTGTCTTTGTATTAATTTTCTTTTGCTCACATATTTCCTCCTCAAAAATTGCCAATTAGGATTGATGCATGGTTGATATGATTCCCAATTACTAGCATTTCCCCCCTTTCTTTTACCACCTCTATGAGATTACCCAAGTATTCACATGATAATGAATAAACTAGTGTAAGTTCAGAAGAATTATATTGCTGACAAACGTTAATACTTGCTGTTTCATAAGATAGGAAGCAATTCTTCTTCCAATTTGCATAGTGAAAACCTTTTTTTTTATGAACGTTTCCCCTCGACTTTATCTCCTATCATGTTTTGATTGGAGTCAGAAAAGTGATTCTGCGTCTTCTTTTCTTTGTTAAATATTTATCCATAAGACTTGTTTTAATAATTTCTTTCCAAATACTATGCTCATGAAAATTTCAGCAGTCTGGCTTGTGCTTTTAAATCCGTGCATCCTGATGCATGGAAAAATTCACGTACGGGAAGTTTCTAATATCAATATGCTCAATTGATCACGCTGTTTGACATCTATATCTTATCTAGGAAGTTTGACACATCATTGGTTAAGGTTTATGCAAACTGAATAGATACCTTTGCAGAAAGTTAAAGATAGCTGGAGGATTGTTAATCACAGAGACATTATACCAACAGTCCCCCGTTTGATGGGTTACTGCCATGTGGCTCAGCCTGTTTATCTGGCTGCTGGAGAACTAAAAGATACTTTGGTGAGTTTTCTTTTTTAATCAAATACATCTACTATTTCTTGTATTATTCTCATTCGACTGGCCAAGTTGATTTAACGTGACCGATGCTCTTTCGTCAAATGGAATACCATTCTTATTTCCTTGCTAATGTGAATAATCTATGGTCTCGTGTGACAGTTTATGCATGCATCTGCTTATAAGTTCTATCATTTTTTTTCCAGGAAAGTTTGGAGCTTTGGAAAGATGGTTACCAAGGAGATGTCATTGGGGAATACACACCAGATGTTCTTGTCACTGAATTTGTATGTTTCTTGCTGTCTAAATATTTTCTTTTACCTTCTTTTTTCTACTTAGAAAGGGTTTTTAAATCTTGATATTTTCATGCATCGGCACGAAAAGATGTCCCTTATCGTTTCTTAGTCCGATTTCATCTGCATATGTTCCAAGGCCTAGTCCAGGGAGATATCAATTTCTTGGTAATTTGATACGACATTCATGCACATGGCGGACGTGATGGAAACCATTGAAAGACCTTGCTTTTTACAGGTTTTACCCGAGCTACGATGCTAAACAGAGCAAAAGGCTCTGAGAAATGCATACATATCGTTAGGAAGGGCAGTCACGAATCTCAAACATAGACCACAAAACGGACATGGAAGATATAAAAACAAATCCTTTTAGGGATTTACACTGTTTTATCAAGCCTGCTTCATGATTTATACCGATGATTAGATCCTAAAGTTTATCATATATATCGGTCCACGAGTTTTATTTGTTATAAACTGCATTCTGATTGGAAATGGTCTGGTGCAGATGAAAGGAGAAAGGGAACTGATTGAACAGATATTACAAACCGAAATCAACATATTCCGTGCGATACGCGACGGGAGTGCACTCATGCAGCACATGGAGGATTTCTACTACATATCACTGCTAGAGGTACAACAACATCACAGTTGAATCACTCTTCATTTCATGACTTTTGACTACTGTTGTTCCACCAAGTACCTAGTGATTATCAATTGAAAAATGAAAAAAAAGTTGGGCCCTTTAGGCGTCACCTGATCAAATGATTCGAACATGGTCACCCTGCTAAATGTTGAAACTGGCTTTCTGTTGCTTCCTTCAGAGCGTGAGGTCGAATTACCGGGCTGGTGCGAGCTCGAGAAAAAGTGAGGAGGAAAGCGTGTCGAGCCGATAGACATATGGACGACGATTCTCGGAATTTTGTAGCAGACTGCAACTGCAAGTTGCAACTACTGGTTTTAACATCATAATAGGTATACGATGATTCAAATTTAAACACGATTAACATGATTACATTATGAGTGTATTTGGAAATTCCTCAGTTTGGGTATACTTATGTGTAATTACTAATTACACGTGCAACAATTTAGATAAGTATTGTAATTAAGGGTCTCTTAGATTGGGTGTAATTGAAACACTCTAATTGTACATTTTTTACTTCTTAAATTGGTTGAAATTAAGGGAATTACACTTGGCCAAATTTAAAAAGAAAATACTCGTTTTCTAATTGCTTGTATGACTAATACCTAAAGTATGTCTTCTTTTTTTATCCAAGTACCCAAGTATTTTTTGGTCAAAATAAGTATATGAAGTTATCTATTTGGTTAAAATAGGTATTTAAAGTATTTTTTTTTATCAAAACAAGCACCTAAAGTATTCAATTTTTTTTTCATCCAAGTACTTAAAGTATTCTTTAATTAATGTTACATGTCAACTTTTAAGACTTAGATGAAAAATTTGAATAGTTTAGGTACCTGTTTTGATATAAAATACTTTAGGTACTTATTTTGATAAAAAAAATAACTTGAAAACTTATTTTTATAAAAAAAAATATTTTTGGTATTTAAATGGAAAAGAAAGTATACTTTAGGTTAGTGGTGGATCCACGTGACTACCGTGAAATTTTTGGAATTCGAGTGTCTACCCTTAAAAAAATTTCTAAATCTATCATTGCTTTAGGTACCTATTTGTGATATAAGTTTTTTTTAATTAATGTCTCACTGAGTTTGTTTGTAATTCTGTATATTTATTATCTATTGTGGTACCTAATTTTTTTTTTTTATAAGAGTAGGTCTAATTAAAAATCCCTTTTACGTTTCTCGACACTCCGCGAAAAAATGTCAAAAAGTAGTGAAAGGAGAAAAAGAGTACCACGAAATTTATTAGAATAAATAGATTACGAACACCACCAAGAAACAAGAATGCAACAGTAGAACCCAACACCCAACAATAGGAACCTTGTTAACCAAGCCTAAAATTCTTAACTATACCCAACCTAAACCAACTATTCATTCCTTTCTTAGTCAATTCACCCGCCCTTGCGTTCGCGCATCGACTAACATGTCGATAGATACTTGCGCGATCCTTTACAATCGCTTCTATTTCACGGACAAGAATAGCAAAGGGACCAGGGTTGAAGAGTGGTCGACAATCCAATCTAAAGCAGACTTGTAGCCACTTTCCAATATCAGTCTATATTTCTTATTCAAATCCAGTTTTAAAAATAGAACTAAACCATGTTTGATCGCCAACAGCTCAGCTCAACTAACCCAAAAGACTTATTAGAAATAATATGGACCTAGTTATGTTGGGTTTGGGCTTGAGTTGGACCAAGTGGAGTTGTAGGGTGATTTTTTAAGGAAAATAAAGAAGAGGGACCAAAGGGGCAATTTACCCATAGCTTGAATTAAAAGATGAAAAACCCTTCCTTTTTATAAGATTTCACGTAAAACTACTCCCCTACTAGCTCACCAAAGACTCATCTTTCTTCTCTTCTCCTTCTTACTTCAAGTGAGAACTCCAAAAGCTTTGTTGAGTTTAGATAAGATAAGATTAGTAATCATCGATAAAAAAAACTTTCATTTAAACTTTATTTTTTAAGTTTTATCCTTAGTTTTTTAAAAATGAATTTTAGAGAGATTTAAGAGAATATTTGGATTATAGATTGTTTTTTTTGTGAATTTAAGTTATAGAAAGTGTTTTTAACCTTAATCCAACCTCTTAGTTAAGTTAATAATTTCTTTTTTCCTTCATTTGATTAGTTAAAGTAGCGTGAGAAAGCTCAAGAGCAAGGGGAAAAGAGAAAGTTTCCTATTGCTTGTTTGAGGAGAGTTTCTAGCAACCAAAGAAGCAAGGTAACATATTTACAATTTTTCCAGACCACTTATGGGTCACTAGGAATGTATTCTAACTTAATGGTTGAGTTTGAAGCATGTTGAGTGTTTTTTACGGTAAATTTTACGTTTTAGTGTTATAGCATGTTTTAAAGTCTTATTTATCACCCCTTAATATCACATAAAACTCTAATAATGGTTGAAAACTTCATATAATATCCTGAAATCCGATTTAGTAGTTTGGGTCAAACTGAGACCTTTAAGTCAAGCCAATTAGGCCTCCCAATATAGTTAGACCAAGTTATATAGGTGTTGGGCGTAAGGTAGACTCAATCTCTCTAGATCTATTTAAAATATTAAAATCCGATAAATTTTAATTTGATACCCATAAAGATTTTAAAATTCAATTAATTTTAAATACAAATAAAAAATTCAAAACTATTAAATAAAATATAATCATAAAATTGTTAGAAAAGAAAAAAATATTTTCATTAATGTTTATTTACGTTTATTTATGTTCATTTATTGTGTTCGTTTACTTTTATTTGTATTCGTCTATTGTATTCGCTAATATTTTTTTACATCCGTTCGTTTATGTTTGTTAATTTTTATTCATTTATCATTTAAATAAACGAACATTAATCAACACAAAATCTCTTTGCAAATTTGTAGAAACCGTTGTTGATACCGAGCTTCGCGACCGTTTGATTTCGATGCTCTCCGGCTCTGCTTCCGACAAGACCGTGCTCAACTTGCAGGATGTTCTTCAGGGATTCGCGTTTGACAACATTTGCTGGCATTTCCAGTGATGGGTTTGGGTCATTTTCTTCTTCTGGTTCTTCATCTTGTTCAAATCTTGAGACAGCTGTTGAAAATTGAAGCTTTCGTCTTAGTCATCATCATGTTGGGTGGTGTAATAAGAGGCTGCACCTCTATGACTTGTTCTTTGTTGGTGCCTCTGTCTCGTCTCCCTTTCCCACTCTTTTCGTTTTCCCAATTTTTTTCTTTCCCCCACGCCAGGCAAACATCATAAAACGGTGAACTTGCCAGAGGTGATGGTGAGTGAGTTCGTAATTCGGGATTAGGTTTTGGGATATAATTTGAGATTTTGAGTATAATTTAAGGGTATATTTGTAATTTTAAAATTAATTTTATTTTAATTATATTTAATATTAAAAATATTAATAAAATATGACACGTGATATGAAAAAATAATAAAATAATCCACATCAACTTAAAGTGAACAAAAGAATTCAATGTCTAAAGTTCAATGAATAAATTGAAAATAATTAAAAGTACTGTGAGTGAAATAGGAGAGAAAGTTTCCTCGAAAAATGTTTTACTGATTACAGAATTTTTCGCTAAAAATATGTGCTTAAAGTTTTCTCCACTATACTTTTAGGTGTATACCGTTAAAAAATCGTCATATTTATATATATTTTTTAAAATATGGACTTGACTAATGCCACTTAACGATTTTTTTAACGATAGACACTTAAAAGTGTAACAGAGAAAACTTTAGACACCTATTTTTAGCGAAAAATTAATTTTGAGTATAATTTAGATACTTATTTTTATATTAAGCCTATTTTTTAACGATTGATATTTAATCTATTGATCGATTAATTTATATCAAATACTATAACAATTTATTAGGATAATGATTCTTTCAACTCAATTTGTTCTAATCCTAACCTCTCAACTCAATGTGCCTCATTTAGAATTAACTCAGAATATTCAAAAAATTGAGATTAATCTAGAATAATTCGTAATTTAGAGATAAAATTAAAATGTTTAAAAGATCAGACCAATTTACAAGTCACAATTTAGGATGGAATCAAAATATTTAAAAGTTTAAGGATTAATTTAAAAATAAAATCATAAGTAAAGGATGTAGGAGACAATTAACTCAAACTTAAAATATCCATTAAACAATCCATTTAAGACCCTTTCATTTACAGGGTTTTCCCCTAAAAGCCATGCAATTTATAAAAAGTGCAAAACCGTCCCTGTAAATGAGCTAGAACCAAGCCGAACTGCTTTAACTCAGACCTTCAAAGCTATCTTCTGAGCAGCAAGGGATTCAGCTTCGAGTGTCGGCTCATACAATAGTGTAGTTTCCGACAGCAATGATGTCACGACGTACGGGTCCATGTTCGAAGCCGGGCGCCGGTCTTCCAAGTAACCTAACAATGAAACAAGTTATAGTTCTTAACATCCATAATCGATTCTCCAACTTAACAAGATTTGTTCACTAGTTTCATTGATGGTAGTACCTTTCCCATTCTTCTCGGTGTCACGCCCTACTCGGATTGAGCAGCCGCGATTAGCCACACCCTGCAAGTTCGAACCCGAAATTTTTTTCACGGTCATTAAGGGAAGTGTCTAAAGTTTTCCAATGGCTTCCACCGCAAGGCACAGATATCTCATGAGACGTACCCATGAAAACGTGTTGATGCTGGCTGTTTCATGCTTTCCTGTCAGTCTTCTCTCGTTTCCTTCGCCATACGCACTGATATGCTCCTTGTGGCGAAGCGACAGATTCAGGATTGCTTTCTTTATAACATCGAAGCCTCCTTCTTCCCTCATACTCTTCGTGCTGCGTTAAGAAATACGTTTCGTTGTTATTCGAGAAGTGATACTATATAAATTCCCAATGCATATAGCTCAATAAAACTAAGAAAATTCGGCTATAAGACCTGAAATTGGTGTGGCATCCAGCACCATTCCAGTCACCCTAGCAAAAGGAAAACAAATTGAGTAAATCCTCTGGAGGACTAATACTAAGAGTCAAACGTTGTGGAATGTTACATTACCTCAATTGGCTTGGGATCAAGGGAGAGAACAACGCCGGCTTGTTCGGTGATTCTCTATAAGAACAGAGGAAACTATTGGTAAGTTATTGGATTGATTGACACAGATGTTGCAGAGGTCGAATATTGCAGGGGCCTCCATAAGACCATAACGAAAACATGCAGAGAAGAAATACCTCAAGAATGTATCGGGAACACCAGATATGATCTCCGGCTTCGATGCCAACACTTGGACCGACTTGATACTCCCACTGCATAGTAGGTCACAGGATCAAAATGGCGATAACTAACAAACAAACAAGCATGAATGCAGGAGTACTTAATTTCCGTTAGCTAGATGAGGACTCAGAAGGCAGCAGACCTGCCCAGGCATAACCTCCCCATTGGTTCCACTGATGTTAATGTCAGCATATAAGCAAGCTTTGTAATGTGCATCCGAGATGTCACGCCCGAATGACTTGTCAGCTCCAGCTGCACAGTAATAAGGACCCTGAATTTGGAATAAAAAACCATGTTAATGAATAAGTTCTTGTAGGAATGAATTATTAACACGAATTTACAGATCTCTACAACTTTTTTACTTTCGTATAAAAGTCGAGTCATATCGTTACCTGAGGACCAGGGTAGCCTCCAACAGGCCAGCCCAAAGGCCATTTCACGTTTTGTTGAAGTAAAGTGTACTCTTGCTCGATCCCAAACCTAATCAGAATAAAGGCAAACACAAGAGTACGATATAGCTCTCGAATAATCCAAATTTAAACGAAAGAATAAGAAAGTTGAAGGAAAAGTAACTCATACCATGGTACTTCATCTACCACCTTCTTGTTGCTGAAAATCTCAGCAGCTCTGGCGCGCTTGTTTGTGGGAATGGGCTCGCCGGCTGGTGTGTATGCATCACAAAGTACCTTTTTGAAACACATAAGAAAAATATTAGCCACACTATAATTTACATACAGAGCTTTGAACAATCAGTTAGAAAACTTTAGTTACACGGCTTCGATGAGTACCCACCAAGATATTGTTACCTCCTCGGAAAGGATCCTTAAAGATTGCTTGAGGGCTGGATGAAGTTTTCAGTCAAAATGGTGTTTTGAAGATAACAAGCAATAAATAAACTTCCAGATTTCTTATGAAAGGTCTTATCTTACTATAAAATAACTTCACTATCGTCTCCGGGAGCTTGTCCGGTACTTGATCCATCGTAGTTCCACTTGGGAAGCTCAGAGGGATGTTCAACCGGCTTGGATATTGTCTGCAAATTGTAATAAGGCAGAAGAAACATGAGATACAACTAAATACCAGATTGAAAATCACAAAATTTCAGTTCTTCTAATATCCTTACCCTGGACTTGCTACGCATATCGATTCCACTGCCCCCTATCCTGTTCCAATGGAGAAACAGAAGTGACTTCATAATGCTAACCTATGTTGCCGAAGTACCTTGTTCTACACATATTTTATTCGGAACATAGATAAGATGTGTTAGAAAGATGATGTACCAAATATATTCAGCAATGATCTTTTCAGTGTATGGAGTGATGTCCATGTTTAGAAACTTCTCTAGCCTGTTGACAGTGCTGTTCTCAGACAAAGCGAGAACTCTAAATTTGCCAGAGCTCTTAACTGCTCCTTTCCTGTTATGTTTTAACACCAGAGGACTCCACATTTTCGTCGCAACGGGACTTCCAAAGGTCGAGGTCTTCGGTAATCGCATTTGCCATTGAGTCGAGGGTGCTAAAATCTGTGCCATCTCCCCCTTCTCCCAACTGAGAGGAATCAAACAAGTATAACAAACAATTTCAACTTCAACACGTCAATGCAGATTATGCAAGAAGAAAAGGCCTTAAACTTCAAGTCATTCTCTTATTCTTAGATCCTTTACACTGAAGAAGAGAAACGAAAAGAATGATGGCAAGTACATAAAAAGACCATTTTCCTTTCCTGTTCAACTCATGGTCAGACTAAATCTTAGACCACAAACATTTTCATACTTTTAAGTTTTAGAACTGTTGATGGTAAAATGTGGGTTGCGATGGCTGTAAGCGATTGTTGATGCTTTCGGAGGAGAAAGTTGTGCGGAGGCCGTTACATGTGAAGGCCCCTGTACGTCCTGCGGAAGTGTCCTACCTGCTCCACTGCCTTCATCTGGAATGGCCTCCGCACTACTTTCTCTTCCGCCAAAAGCATCACCAAGAACCCAAAAGGATGTCTTAAACACAGCATTGTTTAGCAAATAAGTAGCAGAAAACATAGGATTTATATCCACAATCTTCAGTTTAGTGGATCATGTACAAGACTTGATGAAAAGGGACTAGACCTAGTGGTTTATGCTCTCTCCTTCATGAGCGAGCTGCTGGTCCAAAAGCTCCAAATTCTAACCACTGGTTCTTTACCAGTAGGAAAACTCCATTGGTTCAATAACTACTGGGGGGGCATTCAAATAAGATCCCTTCTTTCAATGAACAAAAGGTTAAACACTTGTTGGGCAACAAGAGGCACCCATGATTGAAGCTCCAACAAGCCTGGATCAGATCCTTGCATCTAAAGCAGATCTGAAAGTAGACTTATAATGTTACCAGGGATGGATCGAGGGCTGCTCAGATACGATCGTATCCTCTAAAATTTTGTTTTTTTCTTTGCATTTTCTATTAATAGTCTAATTTTTAATATAAATTCTTAAATCCAAGCCCTTTAACATAAAATAACGTATTCATCTCGGAAGGTGACTTTGATTATTACCAACTCACATTAGTTGGTCAAGACTCATTAAATACAACCATATTCATGCGCAAGTGAAAAGGTAGTGCTTACTACATGATTATGTAATCATAAAGTCATTTGACACCATAAGTCCATAATGTGAAGCACAAGATTACAAGACAAAAATGGTTAAAAAACCCTTCTTGCTTAACGACCCTCAATGAAAACAACACATAGATGAAGAGAGAACTGACCTGGGAAGTGCCTGAAAAATGGACTGACAAGGGACCAGAAAAATGGGTTTTGCTTGGATTGGGTGTAGATGGAGAAGAAAGAGGGAAAGTGGAGCGAAACAAAAGGGTAAACGAAAGGTGGTTGATAGAGAAAAAGGAGTTGCCTGTGGCTGTTGATGAACAGATAGGGATATGTTATGAGTGGAGGAAACTAGTGTTGGGGCTCTCTGGTGCCACCAAGGGGATGCTTTGGCTATGGTTCAATTTTGTTAGATGATAATGTGCAGAGCTTATCTCATTCATGTAGTAGAAAATACCTCATTTACAGCAATCCCTTTCTAGGCTTTAATCTATTTTATATGATTGGTGTCGTGAATTACTCGAATTAAGGTCTAAAATAACATGATTTATGCGATGCCAATGTTATTTCAACTCATGGTTAATTTTTCTCGTATCCTTTTACTCATAAATTAAATCTTTCTCCCATGACTTAAGTTCTCATCTACGAGACATATCGGAGTAGTCATGTAAGAATAGACTGAAAGAGACAAATAGAATCAGATTAATATGTATTTTAAATATCTTATTTGTATTTTCAATCGATAATATGATTTTGTCCCTAGAATTTTATAAGTTTATATCTCGTAACATTTTAGAAATTTACCACTAACATAAGATCCTACGTCTTTCTTTAATCACGGTGGCATCAAAATATGACGAAATCAGACCATCAAAGTCCTCCTTAAACTGTACCTGTGACTATTTCATTATGGGATATTTCAATTTGATCACTGATCTTTTAATTTTGTTAATTATATCATTTAACTATTTAATGGTGATGTTGATACGTCATCATAAGATAATACTGGACCAATAATTTTGTTAATTTTTTAACGACAAATAACTAAAATGAAATGAAAACGTAATATTTTTTTAAAATAATAATTGAGATACTTCACCAAAAAGTATTGTTTTGTCAATTGGGAAGTCCACAGAGAAATTTCAAGCAAGGTTCCTTGCTTGCATTATATAAAAGCGTGTGCCATTTTGCATTCATTCTGCATTATATTCGCTGTTCTTTTTCTTCAAGTTTTCAACTTTGGCGTCACGCTTTGATCAAAAACCAAAAACAGCCTTCTCGAACCTTCTCAACCTCCCCCAATTCATCTCCCAATTTCCAAAATTCATCGATCTTTGTTCCATAATTCGTCTCCCGTTTCCTTGTTTTCACCGCTCTCTTTATAGTTCCATCCATTGCTATATTTGGTTATCGATCTCATCTTCCGATTTAGAAATTCTCTCAAATTAGGGTTCTTGAATTCTGATCGGAATTCGTTATCATTTGATCGGAAAAACCCTGAGGCGGTTCCTACCCAACTCAATTCATATCAAAACAAGAAATACCCGGTTCTTGAATTTCTAAACGAAAGAAGATCCACGCTTCAAAAATCTCGCTTACCCTTTTTGTAAAAACCTCCTTGGTTTTAATCCCCAATTCAACCCAGAAGAATTGTGAAAATTCATCGATTACCCCTTTCGTTTTCAATCAAAATAGTATACCCAGATCATCAAGATCCCAAATTAATCTTTCCACACGTGATGGGCACAATTAGTTTTCACAAAGAAGTTTCGAAACCCTCAACATCTTCTTCTACTGCTTCTTCTTCAACCTCCTCGACGTCTCGAACTGAGACGGTGAACGGGTCCCATGAATTCAAGATCAACGGATACTCCCTTGCCAAAGGCATGGGAGTGGGAAAATATATAGCTTCAGATACTTTTACGGTGGGGGGCTATGAATGGGCCATTTATTTTTACCCGGATGGAAAGAGCGCTGAAGATAATGCTTCCTACATTTCGCTTTTTATTGCTTTGGCGAGTGAAGGGACGGATGTAAGAGCCCTTTTTGAGTTGACGCTTTTGGACCAGAGTGGAAAAGATCGTCACAAGGTGCATAGCCATTTTGGGAGGATGCTTGAGAGCGGGCCTTATACCCTTAAGTACCGTGGGAGCATGTGGTGAGTTTTGTGGTTTTCTTTGCGTTGTAGAAAACTACTATTATAGTTTTTTTCCCCTTGGATTAGTTTCTGCCTTGGTAGTTAGAATTTAGACTGGAAATTTTGAGGTAGATAACCATTGTTAAAGTTTCAGTTGAGATTAAGTTGCTGAACCAATCAAAGGTTTATACGCATACTGTTATTATATCTTGTTATGATGATCAATTCTTGTAGGTCGGTAATTTAGATTAATGAATTTTTGGCATTTTGTGTGAAAGCACCATTAAATGGCTGTCCGTTCTTGTGTTGCAGGGGTTATAAACGCTTTTTCAAAAGAACTCTTCTAGAGACATCAGACTACCTTAAAGATGATTGCCTTTCATTTCGCTGTTGTGTTGGCGTAGTTAAGTCGCATACGGAGGGACCTAAAATCTATTCTATTTCAGTGCCACCTTCTGATCTTGGTCAGCATTTTGGGAGGTTATTAGAAAGTGGAAAAGGAACTGATGTGAAATTTGAAGTTGATGGGGAAATATTTGCTGCCCACAAGTTGGTCCTTGCAGTACGTTCACCTGTATTCAGGGCGCAACTTTTTGGTCCATTGAAGGATCAGAACACGCAGTGCATTACAGTAGAAGACATGGAAGCTCCTGTTTTCAAGGTTCTCCTTCTCTCTTGGTCTGACTTTATTTCATAATTTCCTTTTCATCCCCTTTCTTTGTCTATTGAGCAGGTCCATAATATTGCTGAAACCTAGGTTATCTTTTAAGGTGCATAGTATTTTATCCATGCTGAAGCTATGAATGGTTCTGTTCTTTGTTTATGTGCATTTGTCTCTCTTTCTATTTTAAGTGTTTGGAATTAAGAATGTTGCTTAGGTCACTGTTGGCTTCCGTAGCTGTTTTAAAAAGCGCGCCTAGGTGCGCCCAAGGCGCCGGGCGCAGTGGGGAGCCTGAAAAATCTCTTCTGGCAGCACAGGGGAGGCGGTGAACAGGGGCGCGCGCTTCCGGCGCATTTCACGCTTTTCCAAATGGGCGCAGGCGCTGCGCTTTTTGCGCCTATAGGATGTGCTTCCATCTCTGTTCTCCGACCGGAGAAAGTGTGCCGGAAGTGATGGCGGCCAAGTTAAGGGATAGGAAGAGTGTTTTTTAGGGTTTCTTTCAAAGAGGAAGGTAAAAATTGATAAAAAGAAAAAGAGAAATAATTATCTTAAGAGCTGAATGATTATATAAAGAAATGTTTAACCTAGTAAACTGATATTTTAAATTAAAATCATTTATTAAGATTACTTTTAAATTTTCAAGAATTTAAAAAGGAAACTTTTCAACCACATTAAATATTATTAGTTATAATTGCTTTTAAATTAATGGATAATGACTGTGCAACGGTAAAATTATGGGGTCTTTGTTTTCATTGGAAGTTGTAATTTATGCTTACGTATTTATTTGGGAATATTCATATGCTGGAACTATGGTTGTTTATGCTATTAGTGTTCAAGTTTGAACTATGCTTTCTTATATTGATTTATGTTTTGTTATGTTAAAGTCTTGTTAGTGTAATTATATTGAATATTTTTATATTTAACCATCTATCATATGATTATCATATCGTTTTGAGTATAAAATATCTTATATAATTAATTTATAGGGTTTTTAGTATAAAAGTGTGCCTCGCCTACAAAAGGCGCCCGCCTTCGTCTTGTGGCCCGAACCTAGGTTCCAGGGACGCTTTGCGCCTCGCTGCGCCTTTTAAAACTAAGGAATTGCAAGTTATTTTTTCTTCTTTTGTTAGGAACTTAGGATGTTTTGCTGTATTTAGTTAAGTATTCTCTAGTTATTAGAAAACTTGCATATAGATGGTATAGTGAAGGCTCATACGAATGCTTCTTGGCTAGAGTTCTTAAGTTCCCATTGGGTTGTATGTATAACTTAGCTTCAGAATCGTCACTCTATCTAGTGCTAGCTGGATGGTAATAGGTACCGAGAAAGAGAATGTTATTTTCACTGGGATCAAGGGTTTAATGTGAATTTCTCTAGAGCGACGGTCTTACTGTATTTCAATTTTTGGTTCAGGGATAGTGATTTCATGTGAAATTTAGCTTTCTGTTGCCATAACAAACCCGAGTTTGTTGAATGTTCAACTTATTTTACAATTAGAAGCACAGATTGTTGTGATTAGGAGCAGAAAATGATGATTGTTCCTACTTTCCTCAAGCTGTTGTGTGTCTTAGGAACCTATAATATGTTCCTCGTATGTTGTTGGATGGTATGGCAAGGTTCAGAGGTAGGTCTGTTGGTTCTTTTTGTTAGTCGAGTAATTGTGGTGCCATACAGGATGGCTTATACAGGAGAGTACATCGGGAATCCTCTTCTAAGGTGCTGCTCCTGTACATTATTCTTCCTAACCTCGGTTAAGGTTTACTGTCTTCTTTTGCTTCCTTTCTAATTGCCTCTTCTTTTTGCACTACCTCTTGAGCTAGGAACAATATCAAGTATACTTTTAGCTGACATGGAATTCATAATCATAAGATGTTTTGACGAAATTTCTGAGCTGTCTGCTGCAGTGCTTTTGCTAGATGCATTGAGGATCCAGCATTTGGATGAGTAAATCCAGTTGTTTACTTGTGACATCAGGCATTGAATGTCTTAAGTGTTAGATATTTCCTTTGTGTTAATATCTATTTCAATTTCTAAATGTTGCTTAATATGAATGATAGTGGATAAACTGCAATGAAACATATCTTGGTAACTATTAAACTTTATACAGATGACGTCATGGCTTCATTTTACTTTGGTGAACATGGAGTTGGAATGTGGAAGTTGATAGCAGGTCCATGCTATGAGATTCTTGGTCCTGCTTTGCTATTTCCTTGCCATGAACCAATATTTTAACTCTCTTTTCTTTTGACCCTGATTAAACATATTAAGTTACATCTCTGTTGTTTAAATTTTCCTAGAAAAACTTGTGGAGTCTTGCAAGGATTCCCAAGGTGACTTGGTAAGTGATCTTGTACATATAACTTCTTATTACCATGGTTGGATGTTTGCAGGCATTGCTCCATTTCATTTACTGGGATACCTTACCAGATTTGGAAGAGCTAGCGGGTTCAACTTCAAAATGGGCTTCAACTCTTGTGGCTCAGCATCTGCTTGCTGCTGCTGACCGTTACGCACTTGAGAGAATGAGAATTCTCTGTGAGGCTAAACTTTGTGAGGGTGTCGCAATAAACACAGTTGCAACTACATTAGCCTTAGCAGAACAGCACAACTGTTTGCATCTGAAAGCCGTATGCTTAAAATTTGTTGCATTGCCAGAAAATTTAAAAGGTAGGGACTGTAAAAATCAATTCTATTTTAGATTCACTGATAATATGCTTAGAGAATGTCTAAATTTATTGCCTTCCTACTTTTTCAGTCCCCTCTTTTCATCCTTCACTTTTCAAATAAATATATGCATGATGAGAATTGGTTCTCTCTCCTAGAATTTATGTCTAAATTTATTGTCTTCCTACTTTTCCAGTCCCCTCTTTTCATCCTTCCCTTTTCAATCAAATATATGCATGATGAGAATTGATTGTCACTCCTAGAATTTCTCTCTAAAAGAGCAACACTTTTTAATTTGTTTTAATGTTTTGAAAGCGATTGGTAGGAATGACCAAATTTGTTGCATTGGTTTCAGCTGTGATGCAAACAGATGGATTCGAGTATCTGAAGGAAAGTTGCCCTGGTGTTCTGATTGAATTGCTGCAATATGTTGCAAGAATCGGGGAGCATTCTGTTATTGCATGTGGATATCGAAGAAAAGAAGCACCGGTAGATGGTTCTGATGCTAATGGACGGCGGGTCAAACCAAGACTACAGTGATTTAGGGAATAACATGTAAATCATCCTTTGATTAGTAGGAAAACTAATAAGAGAGAGCAAGGTAGCTTTAGATTTTTGCTTGTACCAACAACGGTGAGTATATGCAAATTTATATGGTGAAGGATGATTTGTTTCTTATACAATGATTTGTGTATTGATTCTTGTTAATGATCTAAATGCCACAATTCATCCTTTTATACAGATTCAGATGTGAAGATTAGCTCAGAATCTAAAGATCAAACAACTAACATGATGATTTACATAAAGCCAAATGAGACTGCACATAATAATTTTAAACATATTTCCCTTGTGAATATGTTCAACTTTACATATAGCTTATTGCAATTGCATGTCTATCTATGAATGTGACGATATCAACAAGAAGCCAAAGTGAGAAAGAAGCAGAACATGTTTCATTTCTAAGACCAAGTATTATATATCACTAAAACAGAAGCATCATATAGAAATTACTGCAAGCTGAGTTGGCGGAAAAAGGTGTTAATAAAAAATAACACAAGTAGAAGCTAACTTCATAAATTAAGAGTTCACTTGGCCTTCTCCTCAAGTCTTACTTGGCATTGACCTAGACCATAAAACCATTAGGTGAAGGATAGTAGGCACAGTTCAATCTCTTCCAAATTAGTGCTATAAATTACAATTATAGCTTAACGTGTGTAGTTCGTCTTTCGTAACCAGCTCTGCCGGAGCATGTACAACATTGCCTCAACAGATGACCCCCTCGTGGTAGGAAGAGTGATACAGGATTAAATCATCTCAGGCGCTTTTGTTGGCCATTGGTAGTTGATATTACGTCAATACCACTGACTCCTGGATCCAACTTGGGCGGCTGTAACTTTCCTAACCATGTACTGGGGTTTTGGCTGCAATTCGGTTGAACCTTCAACTACTTCATCTTCTCCCCTATCGTTTTTACAGACTGAATTTCTTCGTGGATATGTGTATTGAGTTGGAACTATAGGATTTCGAACCATTCTTCGTTGTTCAAGAGCTTCACCTGCGGCTACTGCCCCACAATTGTTGTAACGCATTACTGATCCAACCACTTTCCCAGGTCTGGCAGCACCTGCTGTATTCATTAGGAGCATATGCACTGTTTGTTAGATGGAACAGTAAAGAGATGATGGAAGCTGCTTCCAGCAAATTGTGGGATATTTGCTTTCTATCTGTTATTTTAATCCCTGTACTTGAACTTCCATAACAAACAAAAGAAAGCCTAAAATGTGTAAATATCATATTTCTGTCGCAATCTCAAGTGGTTATCGATTCAAGGGAGGAGAGGGTCATTTAACAAGATAAATATCCTTTTGTTCTATGGAAAACGGTAAAAAGATTATGCATTTACAAAACACAAATGAATCAGCATTTGCCAGACAAAAGAAAATCCACCTCGAACATCAAAATCTAAAAACATCATCTCCTCGGACACAAGTATATGTACACATTTAGAAATAATTATTTCATATTACTTCACTAAGTTATTGTGGGAAGTGTAGGGGGTATTTCTGCCAGGGATTTAGATGAAATAAAGATAAGATGGCCTCTAAAATCAGAAGCAAGACGGTTATTATAACCGTTTCTAATCTCAGTGAGATATAAGCATGGCAATAAATATTGAGGAAGTAATATGAACCAATACAAAAAAATGCGACAATAAATTTGGGGAATAAAGGCCAATCTATATCCATAGAGAAAAACATTCATACCTTGGATGCTTTGAGGAACTTGAGGGGGAAGCCTTGACATAGGGATTGCAAAGCTTCTCTCTACTTGGGGTTTCTCAGTCTCCTTGATGGAACATTTAGATAAGTTATCTGTCACGTCTGTTGAGTTTTGTACCGAATTATCTGAATATAATACACATGGCCTGCACACATTTCAACAGGATACTTGTCAGTATAAAAATACACAATAAGGATATAGGAGAAAATGCATGTTCCTATGACAATTACAAGGTTATGGGAATTGTAGTTTTGGATGCTGGTGTTGATGGGTGCTCATTTTACTTCTATGACATATGAAGGGCTTTGTACTTCCCCCTGTTAACAAAATCATCTTGCCTTTCAAAAAGCTATTGGTGGAAGTATGTAACTTTTAGCACCAGTGGTGTCAAAGCGTGCGCCTACACACACCTGCACCTTAGAATTATACAAAAAGAGGAGAACCCTGACCTTTTCAGGCATAGCCTATTTGAGGACGCAGTTTTGGTAAGGCAATGGGCATTTAAAAAAGCCCACCTGATTGAAGTTCTGTTAATTTATCTTATTTTTCACTTTTTTCCATTGGTATACCTTTACTAGTAAGAAAGGGATAATATTAAACCTTATACTTCTCAATATATGAGCTTTCAACAACAAACATTGAGAAAGGAAATCATGCATGTTGACCAATAAAAAATTGTATGTTTCGTCGATAAACTAGTCCAGACTAGAGTTTTACTTTAAATCTTAAGCTTTATAAACACACATTTACTAAAACTCAAACATATGTATATTGAGTTTTGTTTCCCTCAAGCTTGTGCTTATTTTGTGCCTTGTGCCCGAGGCAATATAAGGGTTCTAGTGACTAGAGTGCCCTTGACAACACTGTTTAGCACCTAAAATGCAACCCGGGATATCGACAGCAGCATGCAAATTATTTGATAAAAGTACCTTGGTAAAGATGCATGTTGCCTCTCAAGTGGAGCTGCAGTGGTCCCATTTCCATAGTGCTCTTCAAGGAAAGCAAACTGCTTCTTGAAATGGTCAACCGCACTGCATTCAAAAACACAAGTGACAGCCTATTCAATTAGGAGATTCAGAAACGTAAAACAATGGTCTTCAGGACAAGATGAATTAAATCAACACGGCAGAATTGTAGAGTAGGAATCTCTTCACACTGAATAACACGGGAAAGACTTCTTTTATAGCACAACAAATAAATCAAGGCTGTTTGGGGAAATATCAAGTAATAGAACCATAAAACGAATAACGGTGTCATAAGATGACATACAAATTAAAGATGCAAGAAAAATAATTAGTTTAGAATGATACCTAGGATACATGAAGCCTGTTGGCTCTGATCCTTCCAAATACTCTTTCAACATTTTAGGATGGTACTCGAGAATTTCACGGTATATGAGCTCCCTAACATCTTGCTTTGTAATCCTACGCCTCTCAAACTCAAATTCCATCTTGGTAACAGGTTGAGCAGAAGGTTCCCTTTCAACTTTGGCCAAGCCCTTAAAATATAGATCAGCTAGGGCCTGACAGCAAGGAAAAAAGTATCCATGTTAGAAGTAAACCATACATTAAAAGGAAAAAAGTAGATGAAAAGTAATAAACATATACCTCTTCAGCAGTAGGTCGATCCTTGGGTTCAAAGGCTAGCATCCTTTCTAACAAACGAACTGCAAGAGGATCTGCGTTAGGGAACTTCTGGGAGAGTGGAATGGGCTTTTTCTTTCGCATGCTGCTCAAGTATCTCCGAGCTTTCTCATTACGTATCTGCTCAGAGTCAGAAAATATCCATATCTTAGAAAAGAACAACTGATGTTAAATAGCTCTGGCTTAAAATAGAACAGTGTAAAAATGCAAACGGATGCCAACATACCCTAGAAATGGCTTCAGCAGACGGTGTTCCCAAAAGATCAGTCATCAGATCCAATTGATGGACAACATTTTTTCCAGGAAACAAAGGTTTCCCTGTTAAAAGTTCAGCAAAGATGCACCCAATGCTCCATATATCTATTGCTGGGGTATACTGAAATAGAACGAAAAAGACTAAATGTGAATATATGCATAAAAAAAGAGGGCATTTATAGAGGTCAACTAAAGTCATCGAATAAAGTTTAAATAACATTAAAACAATGGCTTGGACTACAGTGAGTACTGCCAAATTATTTAGGAAACAAAACCAAAACCCTCATATCGATCAACAAGAATATAAACGAGAGAGAAAAGATTAAGCTCCTTTCAATCAAATAAAGTGCACCAATAATTTTTGCACCTTGGAGAAGAAGGATCCACACAATTCCGGAGCCCTGTACCATCTTGTTGCAACATAGTCCTAAAAAGACGGTTAATATTTAATTCAGAAACAAGAAACAAGCTTCTACTTCTGCATATTATATCTAAATTATTTCCTGAAAGCAGCATCATGTAAAGAGAACCAACCGTCCAGAATATTGCAGTGGGGGTATCATTAAAAGCTACTCTTGCAAGTCCAAAATCACAGACCTTCAGTTTGCAATCAGCATTGGCTAAGATATTTTTAGGCTTTAGATCCCTGTGAAAAACATTGGCTACAGGAACAAAAACATTTAAAACAATGATATCAGAAGCAACCAACAAGTACTTGAAATTTCATAATAGCCATGCATTTTCAAATTGTTATCTACATTCAAACAAGAAGATCAAATCAACAGTCTAGGGGGAAAACCTGTGTGAATGTATTTCAGGCCCCGAAGAAGCTGATAAAGAAAAAACCGGTAATGTTCTGGGGTCAAATCATCATTTGCTTTGATAACCTGGTGTAAATCAGATTCCATTAGTTCAAATACCACATATATATCTTTAAATTCCCTTCTCGAAGGAGGCAACAAGATGTGCTTGATCTCAACAATGTCAGGATGACGTAGGAGCCTGAGAAGTTTAATCTCTCTGAGAATCCGGGTAGCATCAGATACATGTTCAAATATATCATTGATCTTCTTAATTGCAACCTTTTCTGCAGTATGCGTGTCATAAGCAGAACAAACAACACCATAGCTTCCTTTTCCAATTACTTCCTCTATTCTATATCTGCTCCCCTCACCATATTCGGTGAAAAAATCTACATCCACTGCCGACTGCAGAGTGACGATGAAGCATACAGTATGATCAATGATACATTGAAGGCCTACATCTTATAAATAGAATGTAATACATAAAATGATGAAGGATCACAACAAGGACGTGATCGATTATTTCAAGGTAAAAAAATTATTCGCCTGAGAGAAATTTTATTTCCACAACAAGGACAGTTCAAGAATTTACAAAAATCAGAAGCAAAAAGAAAAAGGAAATTATAACATATAACTCCTGTTAGTCAACCTCCAGAACATGAAAATACACAAAATACAGATCTGTATTGGCAATCAAGTCAACCATTTAGTAACTTAAAATGCACAAAATTACAGTGATCATACGAGGCAGATTCATTGACTAATAACCCAAGCAAGGACAGTATAGTTTATACCAATCAACACGTACTATTTTTTTTAAAAAAATACATCACTTCCGTAGATCTTGCATACAAGCAAATATAGAAACTATACAAAAATTGTTACCTTTCTTCTCTGATCAGGCTGCATCTTAGCTTGAACTTTGGGAAGAAAACAGTTGGCATCTAACAGGAAGCCCCAAAGTAAAAGGAGAAACTAATTTCACTTAGCACTTAAACCCCAAATCAAAAGATCACGGAATGGTAAGGGCCCAATAATGCCAAGACCAAAATCCTAGAAAAGGGGAAACACCCAGATATCAAAACAGTTCCCAAAAGCAAAATATTAACACCAAACATCAAGATCAACAATAAAAACAAAACAATCTTACCCAAAAATCTCCAAAGAAATGGTTTTGAGATAAGTAGTTCAAGCTCAGGCAACACTCAAGATTCAGCTAGTTAGAGATTCTGAGGCTAAGTTAACAGCTTTTGCTAATAATAGAGAGAGAGAAATTGCTTTTCCAAAGGCCAAAAAACACTACAAGGCCAGAAGATGTTGGCTTTTTGCAGAGGAGACTAAAGACAATTTCAGCTGGAAAAATGAGTCACTAGGTGAAGAATCTACGCAAGGCGATTAACACCATAAAAACAACAAGAAAAAAACAATTAAATGATCAAGCTTTATTTAAGATAAATAGATCAAGACTGGTTTTCCCCCCTTCTTATTTGCTTTGAGGGAAGTGCTTTTAGACCTCAAAATGAAAGATTAGAAGGGACAGATCAAAGGAGAAGAAGTGGAAATCTAAGCGTGTTGTGCTTCAAGGCCCTTTTTTATGTATATGAAATTGAAGGGCCCCAACTGGAAATATTTGAAAAATAATATAACTAAGGTAAACTATATATTTAGTACATAAGCTATCAGTTTTGGTTCATTTTTTTATCTAAACTTTTAATTTTTTTAAAATCATACCTAAAATTTAGTTTTTGTCTCATTTTAGTGCCATGGAGTTGAAAATTTTAGTTTTTGTTTCATTTAGCACCCATTCAAAATTTATCGTCAAATTTTGAAAAATTAAAAATTTAGGTAATAAAACGAACCAAAAATGATGATTTAGATATGAAACGCATTAAATTTTTAACGGCGGGATATTAAAATAAAATGAAAATTAAATGTTAAGAATGTTTTTTTAAAAAATTGAAAGTTTAAGTACTAAATAAAACTTATAGTTTATATAAAAAACATAGTTTACCCTATAATTAAATCAATTTAAAGTGGGGGGTTTAAAAGGATAACATTATCATTTTTATGTTAAATCCCAATTTTGCCCCTCGTCTTTGGTAAAATTTTCAATTTGCTTTTGCGACTTATTCATAATTATATGTTTTTTTTTTAATTCGAGTAATTGTATATGTAAGGTGTGTGCGCATTGTCAACTAATTAAAAAAGTTTAAACATATAATACTTTATAATCACCTCATAATATTTAAAAATACATATTATTTGTTATCAAGAGACCATTCTTTATATTTATTAGGGTGAAGTAAACAAATGATTATTGACTATAGGACGTTGCTTTTTTAAGTCCCTCGACTATTAAAAAAATGGTCAATTGACTATTCATTGTGTTCCAAATTCATATTTTTTTATTAAAAATTAGATGGTAGTTTGAGTTGGACATTAACACATTGACTGTAATATGATAGTTGTTTGAGATTCTAGGTTCATATTATATCATATCTCAGTCAGCAGGTTAACGTCTAACTTAAACTATCGTCATTTTTTAACGGAAAAGGATGAGTTTGGAACACATTGAATAGTCGGGAAAAAGATGAGTTTAGAACACATTGAATAGTCGGGTGACCATTTTATATCTTTTAATAGTCATCGGACTTAAAAAAGCAACGTCTTATAATCGGGAGACTGTTTTGTAACTTTTAATAGTCGGAGGACTCAATAAAGCATCACCCTATAGTCGGGGACCATTTAATTTCTTTATCCTATTTATTATTATTAATAACCGTCTTGGTATTATTCTAATCTAAGTCCCTAAGTATAGCACGTGGTGTGTTTCATGGACCACACAATTGAATGATATTTATATAAAAAAAAATGGGTACCACATACACCTCAATGTCTCTCCCTATCCAAACACAAACATTTTTATTTTATTTTATTTTATTTTCCTACACCTTTGGTTTGTCTGCCTCACCTATTAAAAACAATTTCTAATTGGAATCATTTTCATTTAATATTTTCATAATCAAAATAATATTTTTTATTCAAATTTAATGATAAAAAGGTATATACGTTAGAGTAATTTTAATATTTTAAATTTAAATATCACTTAAATATGTGAAAAATAAATCAAATATACCCTCGTTAATAGCTCTAATCAATAATGTTAGTATATGTAAAAGGGTTAAGGTTAATGAGATGGCATTAAAAGTAATTTATCTTTGGTAATAAGAGCAATATAAAGCAAAAAGTAAGGAAATGGAGTGTGATTATAAAAAAGGGTACACTTTAGTATTTAAATTATCAATTTTTTCAAAATATACATAATGTTTAGTTTTTGTTTCATCTTAGTACCCGTTAAAAACTTAATGTGTTTGGTACCTAAACTATCAGTTTTGGTCCGCTTTAATACCTAAACTTTCATTTTTTTTCAAAATTAAAATTTTAATGAGGGTACTAAAATGAAATAAAAATTGAACGTTAGGTATGATTTTGAAAAAAATTTAAAGTTTAGATACTAAAGTGGACTAAAAATAATAGTTTATGTACTAAATACATAGTTTACCCAAAGGAAAAATGGTAAACTACACGTTTAGTACCTAAACTACCAATTTTAGTCCGTTTTAGTATATGAACTTTCAATTTTTTTAAAAAACAGTATTTAACATTTAGTTTTTGTTTCATTTTAGTATCCATTAAAATTTAACGTGTTTAGTACCTAAGCTATTAGTTTTGGCCCGTTTTAGTACCTAAACTTTCATTTCCCCCAAAAAACTTAACGTTTAGTTTTTAACGTAGAGGTACTGAAATGAAACAAAAGCTAAATGTTAGGTATGTTTTTAAAAAAATTGAAAGTTTAAGTAATAAAACATATCAAAGTTGATAGTTTAGGTATTAAACATGTAGTTTACCCAAGAAAACCCCAAATCATAGGAAAGGTGGTGGCGAAGTCCACGCGCTTTATCCCTGCTATTTTAATTTCGTGTATGGGACCCACATGTGACAACCAGCGGCTGCATGGATCGGTGATGAAGTGTGTCCACCACTTGCCATCGTAATCACCGTGGGGTCATCCCCTCCTATTAAGACCCGTTAGCTGTGAGCTCGTGACTACCAAGCAAGCTTGTCACTGCGATACCGTTTTTAGCTGATTCCGTCTTACTAATGAAAAAATATTAATCACATAAATTAAAACAATTTTATTAAAAATAATAAATATTTTAAATTATAATAAATATTTACAATTATAATAGTAATTTTTTTTAAATGAACCACTAATTTAAAATTAGTGGGTAGCCCTTCTTCTTATCTCTGTGACATCAGAGAGAAGAAGACGATGGGCTTCAGCAGGAGGTTGGTGGAGCAGAGTGCGTCTCAGTTGCTGTCTTCTACCGATTTTGACAAGGCTACCTGCCACAGAATTCACCGTCTGGGGTATGGAGCTAACAATTACTGTCCACTAGCGCTTCAAATAATCTCTAATTCTTCTAACGATTGTCGACTTATGAAGGGTTGGAGGCGAGGCAAGGCAAGGCATCTGGCAACTTTACTACTGTCCACCTCCACGCAAAGTTGAGTGATTCCGAGAGACCAAGCGAGACCAAGACCATCGAGAACTCCCCAAAGTTTGGCCTGAGTGGCTGAACACCGACCAATGTTCCTGTACACCATTACTATTCTGAATCACTCCACCACAAGCCGCTTGCATCGAGGAAGGGTCCATGGCACCATCAGAGTTAAGCTTGAACCAACCATTTCCTGGCATTCTCCACCAATTAGCATTCCTTCTATGACACGTTGGTCCCGGATGAAGAGTGTGATTTTGCTTTAACACATGAGCCCAGGCTTTTACCGAGAGCATGATTGCCATATTGGACTCCACCTGACCGTTGAATATGAACTGATTCCTACTTTTCCATAGACGCCAAATGGTAATCCCGAAAAGCTGGCTCCTTGGATAAATTTAAATGCAGCCAATCCAACAAAGGAAGAGAAAAGAAAACCGAGGCATGACGATTGGGAACAAGGAGCCTCCATGTCGAACAAGCTATATGGCAGTCCCAGAGAACGTGAATGATGTCTTCGATAGCAGCTCCACAAATAGGATAGCAATCATCATCCGTGAAACCTCTCCTCTTTCGCTCAACGTTAGTCATAAGGCGCTGTCGGAGGATGAGCCAAAATAAAGCTTCGAACTCTTTAGGGACCACAGAATTGCCAAGCGAGATTCCATTTATTATCAGCCGTGTCCCAAGCATCTCTGTTAAGTAAGTAGAAAGATTCCTTATAGGTTGACAGCAATCGTCCCATTTAACAAGTGCAACCTTTGAGTTATTCCCGGAATCTCCCCATATGAATCGATGAGCGATTTGGTCAAGCTTCTCACAGACACCTTTAGGAATTACGACAGTTTGCATAAAATAGTTTGGGACAGCTAGCAGAGTAGATTTCGCTAAAGTGACTCGGCCAGAAAAAGACATATTAGAGGCCTTCCAACCACTTAGCTTATGTTGAACTTTGTCGATAACAAACTGAAAAGTACTCTTGGTAACCCTTCTATGAAAGAGGGACATACCCAAATACTTCCCAAGATCCGCCGAATGCTGAAAACCAAGAAAATTACACAGGGAACAAGCCATATCTTGGTCAACGTTCTTAGAGAAAAACACTTGAGTTTTATTGGAATTAACTCTGTGCCCCGAGAACCTACTAAATTGGTCAAGGATAGCTCTTAAGAGATTAGCCTGGTACTGTTTCGCCCTGCAAAATAAAACCAGGTCACCTACAAAAAATAAATGAGAAATGGAAGGGTTACCTTGAGCCATAATCATAGTTTCCCAAATCTTGTTATCCATCGCGTAGTGAATACTCTGACCCAAACGCTCCATACAAAGCACAAAAAGTTAAGGAAAGGAGTAGCCCTGTCGGATCTCTAGAGGGCTTAATATCCTCAGTCAGCGAACCATTCCAGAAAATCTGCATAGAAGAAGTGGTCACAGTTTTCATAATGATCCGTTTGATATTAGTCGGACAACCCATATCGCACAGGGAATCCTCTAGAAAATCCCAACAAACTTGATCGTAAGCTTTCTCTAAGTCTACTTTAACTGCCATCCACTGAACGTTGCCTTTCTTACGCCTCACCGAATGAATTGCTTCTTGCGCAATCAAAATATTATTAGTTATGTTTCTCTCAGCAATAAAACTTGCTTGATTCGAAGCTATGATTTAAGGGAACACCACCTTGAAACGGTTAGCTATGATCTTTATAAGGAGCTTACAGAGAACAGAGCAAAGACTGATCGGGCGAAAGTCTCCAAACGTCTCTGGATTATTGACTTTGGGGACTAGAACGAGAAGGGTTTTATTTATCTCAGGGTCAATCGGGTTTCCCGTTGAAAATGCCCCTAATCAGACAGAAGGCCCGACGATTTCTCATTGACCTTGGTAGAACAAAGCATGAATTTTCTTTCCCTGGAGCTTTAAGAGGACTCATGTCGAAAAGAACATTTTTTATCTCCACATCGCTAACGGCTGCCCTCAGTTTCCTTGT